AAGATTCAGCAGAAAATTTAATATTTTAGGGTTGTTTTATCAAATTTTTTTTGTAATAAATTAAGGATTTAAAAAAAAAAAAATAAAAATTTTATTTAATTATTTATTTGTTTATTTTTATAATTTTATTGTTCAATTAGTAAAGTAATTCATTTTTTTTTTTTTATTTCAGTGTTCTTAAATAAAAAAATATAGTTCAATTGAAGAAAATAATAATAAATAATAATAAAATAATCATAATAAATTATAATAATAATAATAATAATATACTAATATAATAATAATAATAATCTAATAATAATACTAATCCTAATCCTCCTATATATATAATAATCCTACTCATATATAATAATCATCCTCCTAATAAATACTATAAACTAATATCCTACTACTCCTCACTAATAATACATCCTCTCCTCCTAATACTCCTCCTCCTCATAATAATAAAATATATGTTTTTGTTAATTATAATTTAAATATAAATTTTTGCAACAAAGCTCCAGCCATAAATGTTTTAAGTTTCTTCACAAAATTTATCAATATTAGCTTTAAATTTGTTTTATTTGAAATTTCTTTCGGTTTAAATATTTTTATATAAATTCATTTTTGGAAACTTGAAAATGTTGAAAGGAAATTCGATTTACTATTTTAAACAAGGGCGATTTCTTAAGTTTTCAAGAGATTCCTTAAAATGATAATAAATAATTTTAATAAAAATAATAATAATAAATAAATTAAACTTAAAGCATTTTTGGCTTAAGCTTTAAATTTAAAAAAATTAAAAAATCAACTATTTTGGCCTCTTTTTCCTTTTTATAAAATTATTTTAAAATATAAATTTTTTTCTTAAATAACAATTAACTAAAATATTAAAAAATATTTCTTAAATTTAAAAAAATCTTTAGTATATTCCTTTCAAATCATTATAAATTTTTAATTCAAATTTAACTAAATTTTAAATCATAATTGACTTAAGTTTTTATTTAATAATTATTTTTAAAAATGCTAATTTAAATTTATTTAATTTCTTTAAGACTTTTCAAAATATTTATTCTTGATCAATCTCTTTAATTTTCATTAAGCATATTGTTTATAATAATTTTCTAAAGTTTTATGGAACAAATTTAGTTTTATAAACCTTTAATGAATTATTATGAAAAATACCCTTTAAATTTCTTTTAGTCTTTTGAAAACTTATTGAAAATTCGATTTACTATTTTAAACAAAGACGATTTCTGAAGTTTTCATGAGACTCTTTTTTCAAAGAAAAACTTAAGTCAATTAAATGTTTTGAACTTTATATTTTAATTTTAAAAACTTCCAACAAAATTATAAAAAAAAATTCTTTGATTATAGTTGTCAGAAGCTGAGAAACTTTTTCTATAGAACTGAGCAACTCTTTCTATAGAAAAAGTTGTTCAGAATCTAAACAACTTTTTCTATAGAAAAGTTGTCGGAATTTGAACAATTTTTTATATAGAAAAGTTGTCAAAATTTGAACAACTTTTTCTATAGAAAAGTTGTCAGAATCTGAACAACTTTTTCTATAGAAAAGTTGTCAGAATTTGAACAACTTTTTCTATAGAAAAGTTGTCAGAATTTGAACAACTTTTTCTATAGAAAAGTTGTCAGAATTTGAACAACTTTTTCTATAGAAAAGTTGTCAGAATTTGAACAACTTTTTCTATAGAAAAGTTGTCAGAATTTGAACAACTTTTTCTATAGAAAAGTTGTCAGAATTTGAACAACTTTTTCTATAGAAAAGTTGTCAGAATCTGAACAACTTTTTCTATAGAAAAGTTGTCAGAATCTGAACAACTTTTTCTATAGAAAAGTTGTCAGAATCTGAACAACTTTTTCTATAGAAAAGTTGTCAGAATCTGAACAACTTTTTCTATAGAAAAGTTGTCAGAATCTGAACAACTTTTTCTATAGAAAAGTTGTCAGAATCTGAACAACTTTTTCTATAGAAAAGTTGTCAGAATCTGAACAACTTTTTTTGTCAGAATCTGAACAACTTTTTCTATAGAAAAGTTGTCAGAATCTGAACAACTTTTTCTATAGAAAAGTTGTCAGAATCTGAACAACTTTTTCTATAGAAAAGTTGTCAGAATCTGAACAACTTTTTCTATAGAAAAGTTGTCAGAATCTGAACAACTTTTTCTATAGAAAAGTTGTCAGAATCTGAACAACTTTTTCTATAGAAAAGTTGTCAGAATCTGAACAACTTTTTCTATAGAAAAGTTGTCAGAATCTGAACAACTTTTTTTTATAGAAAAGATGTCATCTGCACAACTTTTTTTATAGAAAAGTTCTCAGAATCTGAACAACTTTTTCTATAGAAAAGTTGTGAGAATTTGAACAACTTTTTCTATAGAAAAGTTGTCAGAATTTAAACAACTTTTTCCATAACAATAAATAATAAAAAATAAAAAATAAATAATAAATAATGAATAATAAATAATAAATAATAAAAAATAAAAAATAAAAAATAAATAATAAATAATAAATAATAAATAATGAATAATAAATAATAAATAATAAATAATAAATAATAAATAATAAATAATAAATAATAAATAGTAAATAATAAATAATAAATAATAAATAAATAATAAAAAATAATTAATAAATAATAAATAAATATATAATAAAAAGTTCTTCATGAAAGTAATATAATTTGTGTAAATTTGTATTAATAAAAAAGTTCCACAAATAATCTCCTGTTTTGAGATTTAAATCAGTTTTATAATAAAATATCAAGTGTTTTTTCTTAATTATTATAATAAAAAAATAAATGTATAATTTATTAAAAATAAAAATAAAAAAAATAAATAAAAATGGCCTGTTATCATAAAAAATCTCTTTTTATGAGATTAGTGTTTAAATAAAATATAAAAAGTGTTAAAATTAAATAAAATTAGTGTGATAAAATAATAAAATCGTTTTATAATAATATAATAAAGTGTGAATAAAAAATAAATATATATAAAAAATAATGTGCAATAAATAAATAAATATTGGCTACTCAATCGGGTTTACAAATCTGTTAAGGAACTTACTCACTAACACTTTATTCGCAAACTATAAAGCGATAAAGATTCATGACTTTATATTGTAACTTTAATAATATTAATTTTGAAATATACGTAACGGTAACGGTATTTTAATAGCGCTAATCGAATATATGTACCTTGAGGATACGGTTCGGTGTAACGAATAAATTCGGTCGTATATATAAAATTTCGATATCACGGTAATCGCTAAGCCCTGTGGATACGGTTCGATTTACAACGGTATTTAGTGTTAACGGTAATTTCGATCAGAATGGTATTTGAGTAGCAGACATTACTAATAAATTAATTAAATTAATAAATAGTGTAATTACAAAAATAACAAAAATTTTTAAAATAGAAGAAATCCAAGTATCTCTTACTGTGATAAAATTTAAAAAAAAATATGTTCCAGCCTAATTTGCCAAGTATAGTTTATGGCAGAAATCAAATCTACGATATCAGACTAATTCAACTATCACATTGCCAACTAGACTATCAGCCACTAAGTAGATACGAAAATATTTCCCGCAAGTTTCACCAATTTAATAAATTCAAAAAAAGGTATGTTCCATTTATTAAATTTGATTTATATTATATTCTTGGAAATAATTTGTTTTTAATATTGAATTTTACGAAATTGAGATGACATTGAGAAAATGTAGTTTTAAGAAGGCGCCACATTTTTGTCCATTTTCTACACAAAAATTCGTCAAAATCCGAGCAATTTTTTCTATAGATGTGAGAATCTGAATAACTTTTTCAATAGAAAAGTTGCCAGAATTTGTGCAACTTTTACTATAGAAAAGTTGTCCGAATCTGAGCAACTTTTTCTATGGAAAAGTTGTCAGAATCTGAGGAACTTTTTCTATAGATAAGTTGTCAGAATCTGAGCAACTTTTTCTATAGAAAAGTTGTCAGAATCTAAGCAACTTTTTTTATAGAAAAGTTGTCAGAATCTGAGCAACTTTTTCTATAGAAAAGTTGTCAGAATCTGAGGAACTTTTTCTATAGAAAAGTTGTCAGAATCTGAGGAACTTTTTCTATAGAAAAGTTGTCAGAATCTGAGGAACTTTTTCTATAGAAAAGTTGTCAGAATCTGAGCAACTTTTTCTATAGAAAAGTTGTCAGAATCTGAGGAACTTTTTCTATAGAAAAGTTGTCAGAATCTGAGGAACTTTTTCTATAGAAAAGTTGTCAGAATCTGAGGAACTTTTTCTATAGAAAAGTTGTCAGAATCTGAGGAACTTTTTCTATAGAAAAGTTGTCAGAATCTGAGGAACTTTTTCTATAGAAAAGTTGTCAGAATCTGAGCAACTTTTTCTATAGAAAAGTTGTCAGAATCTGAGGAACTTTTTCTATAGAAAAGTTGTCAGAATCTGAGGAATTTTTTCTATAGAAAAGTTGTCAGAATCTGAGCAACTTTTTCTATAGAAAAGTTGTCAGAATCTGAGCAATTTTTCTATATAAAAGTTGTCAGAATCTGAGCAACTTTTTCTATAGAAAAGTTGTCAGAATCTGAGCAACTTTTTCTATAGAAAAGTTGTCACAATCTGAGTAACTTTTTCTATAGAAAAATTGTCAGAACCTGAGCAATTTTTTCTGTAGAAAAGTTGTGAAAATCTAAGCAACTTTTTCTATAGAGAAGTTGTCAGAATCTGAGCAACTTTTTCTATAGAAAAGTCAACTTTTTCTATAGAAACTGTTTCTATTGAGAGAATCAGAGAGACTTTCTGTAGAAAAATTTTCATAATATGACTTTTTTATAGTATAACATTTTGCATTGAAACGTTGTTCAAACTTAAACAAAATCGGAAACACAATCTGATCTACCAAAGCATCTCCTTGGGGCTTAATAATAATCATTGGTTTACTAAGAAAAACATACAGATAGTTATAAAACTTTATCTGTTTAATTATAAGACTTTGCATTACTTCCTCACTTACCACAATTCATCTCATCACTGCCATCACCGCAATCATCAATGCCATCGCACAACCATTTCTTACTCTCCAAACAACGTTTATTTTGACAAAAGAAACCCTTACAACTAGCCTCGGCCCTCAGGCAGCCTGTTGTCTCGTCGGAACCATCATGACAGTCCTTCTTACCATCACACATAAAATTCAATGGTATGCAAGAGCGATCCGATTGACAGGTGTATTCATATTGACTGCAATTACGTTGCATAGAGTGCCAACCACCAATACCGAAATCTTTCGATGAACCACGCTCATGATCAACACAATCCAATTCATCTTCACCGCCGGGACAATTTTCAATGCCATTGCAAATTAAATCCGATGAAAGACAAGGGCCATGTGGTAGAGAACATTGAAACCAATCGGGTTTACGGCACATCTTTAAATCTAAAGAGAGGGATAGAAAACAATAAAACGTAAATTAGGTTAGGTTGCAGTAGATTAGGTTCTTTTCTTTTACTTATGAACTTGCTTTCTCTTTTCCTCTTAATAATTGTCTGAATTAGTTTGTCTACTTACCACAATCAAGTTCATCGGAATTATCTGAACAATCTAAACGTCCATCACATAATTTGCTTTGCAAAATACATTTTCCATCTTTACACATAAATTGATCCAAATTGCAACGACTCGCCACAGCTAGATGATTTTGGGTCACTAGGGCCAGCAATATAATTTGTACAAATGCCGCATGTGACATCACTCCATTGACAAATATTTTTTTACGTACATTACATAACGGTACTGGGGAAGAGAAAGCCCTTAAAAGAAACATACGATCGTTTTTAAATTCAATAGCTTATTTTTATTGAAACCCCCATTCTACTTACATTGACTGCTTAAATGTATTTTAATTTTTTTAATAAATATTTTAAAAACAATTAACTTTACATATAAAACTAACACTAACAATTAACAAAAATGTTTTACTTTTAATTCAATGCAAAGTTGGACGTGCACTTGCATGCACTAACAGCCAGATTTGCACTGAATTTTAGTTAATTTTTACAAGATTTTTTTTGTTATTTATTTCATACATTCTTCATGGATTTTTTAATGTTTTTTTTTTGTTGGTTGGATATACCGTTAGAAATTTTATTACAATGAGTTGTAAATATATTTATTTAAAAATGTCTTAAAATATGCTATAATATTAATTACAAAATATGAATGTTATAGCTCGAGTCAATAGCAAAGATACAAACCATATAAAATTAAAAGTACTGTATAAACATAATCAGATTGTATTATATTCGACATAACACCTCAAGGGCGCTGCGGTATACTTGAAAGAAATATTTCCTTAGTTTGTATTATTCCTGAAACATTGTCCGGATTTTAGAAACATTTTCCATATAAAAGTCGTCAGAATCTGAACAACTTTTTCTATAGAAATGTCGTCAGAATCTGAACAAAGTTGTCAGAATCTGTACAACTTTTTCTACAGAAAAGTTGTCAGCATCTGAGAAACTTTCTACAGAAAAGTTGTCAGAATCTGAGAAACTTTTTCTACAGAAAAGTTCTCAGAATCTGAGAAACTTTTTCTATAGAAAAGTTGTCAGAATCTAAAAAAACGTTTTCTATAGAAAAGTTGTCAGAATCTGAGAAACTTTTTCTATAGAAAAGTTGCCAGAATCTGAGAAACTTTTTGTATAGAAAAGTTGTCAGAATCTAAAAAATGTTTCTATAGAAAAGTTGCTAGAATCTGAGAAACCTTTTCTATAGAAAAGTTGTCAGAATCTAGAAATTTTTTCTATAGAAAAGTTGTCAGAATCTGAGCAACTTTTTCTATAGAAAAGTTGTCAGAATCTGAGCGACTTTTTCTATAGAAAGGTTGTCAGAATCTGAGCAACTTTTTCTATAGAAAAGTTGTCAGAATCTGAGCCACTGTTTCTAAAGAAAAGTTGTCAGAATCTGTACAACTTTTTCTATAGAAAAGTTTTCAGAATCTGTACAACTTTTTCTATAGAAAAGTTGTCAGAATCTGTACAACTTTTTCTATAGAAAAGTTGTCAGAATCTGTACAAATTTTTCTGTAGAAAAGTTTTCAGAATTTGTACAAATTTGTCTATAGTTGTCAGAATCTGTACAACTTTTTCTATAGAAAAGTTGTCAGAATCTGAGCAAAAGTTGTCAGATTTTGAGGAAATTTTTGCTACAAAGAATTTGTCAGAATTTGAGAAGCTTTTTCTATGGAAAATTTGTTAGAATCTGAGCAACTTTTCTACAAAAAAGTTGCCAAAATTTCAGAAAATGTTTCTACAAAAAAGTTGTCAGAACCTGAGAAACTTTTTCTATGCAAAAGTTTTTAGAATTGCTCAGATTTTTGTCTATAGAGAAGTTGTCAGAATCAGACCAACTTTGACTACAGAAAAGTTGTCAGAATCCTTTTAAATATTTTCTAGGATGTAGGCACATTTTCCTATAGAAAAGTTAAATTGAGTTTATATTTTAAGATTGCATTTTAAAAACTCCCTTAAAAGATAAATAACTTTCCATAAATAAAAATTACTGGCTCGTTAATTAAAGTAATAAACACCTAATAACATGAGCCTTCAACTATATAATTTTTTTTATTTAAGTAAAAATTAATAGGATTAAAATCTAAAATTAAATTTTATTAGCAAAACATTAAATTTAAAAAAAGAACTGCCCAAATAACTTGAATGCCAATTGAAAAAATAGGCCTCAAATTTTATTACACAATAAAAAAACACATAAAGTATACTTACTATCTATACAATCTGTAATCAAATCCAACACCTCGTATTTAATTCTTTTTTTGTTGTGTACTTGTACTCATATTACCTTCATCTTTCATAATGTTTTCTAGTTAAATTAATTGTTACCAGTTTTATTAAATTTACTTTTTTTCTTAAAATCTTAACCAAAAAATCATTTCTTACAACTTAATTAAAGTAAATAATATAATTTAAATTAAATGAATATAAGTATTTTTTTCTAGGTTTATAACATGATTAATGGGTCTCTATGACTTGACTTGAAACCATTAACAGCAAAAAAAAAAAAGATATTTTAATTAAATCTATTAAAAACAAGTAAAAAGAAGAATATGATATATACAAATAATAATTGTTTCCCCCTTCTTGAAACACAGAATCACACTAAAACTGGTAACACTTTGTTGGTTTAACTGCAGATGAAACATTATATGAAGAAAAATCTACTTCTTTTAATTAGCTAAATGGCAAAAACACAAAACTATAAGGCAAATAAAAATAAAACAAACTAGCATAAGTTAGAGATAGAGAATCTTTTAATAAAGTCCATCAGCATCTTATCAAATCAGATAGAGATCATGTATGTTTGATAGAAACAAATTATCTTAATAATTACGGTTGATAGAGACTTGCTTTTGAGCTAAGTTGTTAGAATATGAGCAAAGTTTCTAAAGAAAAGTTGTCAGAATCTGAGCAACTTTTTCTAAAGAAATGTTGTTAGAATCTGAGCAACTTTTTCTAAAGAAAAGTTGTCAGAATCTGAGCAACTTTTATAGAAAAGTTGTCAGTAACTGAGCAACTTTTTCTATAGAAAAGTTGTCAGTAACTGAGCAACTTTTTCTATAGAAAAGTTGTCAGTAACTGAGCAACTTTTTCTATAGAAAAGTTGTCAGTAACTGAGCAACTTTTTCTATAGAAAAGTTGTCAGTAACTGAGCAACTTTTTCTATAGAAAAGTTGTCAGTAACTGAGCAACTTTTTCTATAGAAAAGTTGTCAGTAACTGAGCAACTTTTTCTATAGAAAAGTTGTCAGTAACTGAGCAACTTTTTCTATAGAAAAGTTGTCAGTAACTGAGCAACTTTTTCTATAGAAAAGTTGTCAGTAACTGAGCAACTTTTTCTATAGAAAAGTTGTCAGTAACTGAGCAACTTTTTCTATAGAAAAGTTGTCAGTAACTGAGCAACTTTTTCTATAGAAAAGTTGTCAGTAACTGAGCAATTTTTTCTATAGAAAAGTTGTCAGTAACTGAGCAACTTTTTCTATAGAAAAGTTGTCAGTAACTGAGCAACTTTTTCTATAGAAAAGTTGTCAGTAACTGAGCAACTTTTTCTATAGAAAAGTTGTCAGTAACTGAGCAACTTTTTCTATAGAAAAGTTGTCAGTAACTGAGCAACTTTTTCTATAGAAAAGTTGTCAGTAACTGAGCAACTTTTTCTATAGAAAAGTTGTCAGTAACTGAGCAACTTTTTCTCTAGAAAAGTTGTCAGAATCTGAGCAACTTTTTCTCTAGAAAAGTTGTCAGTAACTGAGCAACTTTTTCTATAGAAAAGTTTTCAGTATCTGAGCAACGTTTTCTATAGAAAAGTTATCACTATTGGATCCACTTTTTTTATAGAAAAGAATTCTGTATTTGAGCATCAATTTCTATCGAAAAGTTATCAATACCTGCGCAACTTTTTCTTAGAAAAGTGGTCAGTATCTGAGTATCAAAAACTTCAACTATATCGAAGGTAGGGTATAATTAATAATAATTTTGGACACACTACGTATCAATGTCATTTCAAATGAAATAATAAATTTGAATAGAATAAATAATACCCGAATCTTCTTTATACAAATGAAAAGGTCACAAGATTCTGAAATATGTATAATCAAAAATATAAACATGAAAAAAATTAATATTTAATTATGAAATAAATCTTAATGACATTTTATTTGAAATATGTTATTAATTTCATTTCAAAATGCAAAAAAAAAGATTTAAATTGCAATAATTGCTATTTGCATAAAATATTTTAATTTAAAATTTGCTATTTTATTTTTTTGACAAAAAAATTGACTTCAAATCAAACGTCACTTCCCACCAGATAAAAGTGACTTGTTAAGACGTTTTGTTACCACTTTGTAAGTGAAACACCCGCATAGTTTAATAATTCATTTAAATTTGTTTTGTTAAGAAACTCTATCAAAACTTCTCACATTTATCAATTGTCAAAATGTAAATTGTTTTATGGTTATTGATGTCTTAACAAATTTAAATATAAATTTTTTCTGACTTTTAAAACTAATCGTTTCACGTATCAACTAGATATTTCATCTGAAGTTTTCGTCATAAATACAAACAGCCAGCAGTAAAAGATATCTTTAAAAATTATAATTCTTTTTTTTTAGCTTAAAGTTATATTTTATACAAGTTTTGATTTTGGATTAAATACTAATTAATCACACTAACATTTATTCATGATTTTTTGATGAGATTACCATTTTGTTGAGTATAGTTTAACGAAAAAAATATTTATTAAAATAAAATAATAACAAATGTGTTTTTATTTTTAAAAGTTCAATGTAATCATAAATATTTCTTAATTATATGTTACGGCAATATTATGGAAATATGAAAAAAAAACTCATTTTAATTAAAGTTTTTAACAAGTTGCAGAACAGAAGTGTTAAGGAGGATATAATTTCCAACTTTTTGCTACTTAATATTTCATATTTTGATCGATTTGTTAGAACGAGTATTGAATTAATTATTAGGATAAATTGTTGAATTGTTAGCAATTTTTTTATAAAAGTTAATTAGAATCTGAGCAACATTTCCTATAGAAAAGTTGTCAGTAACTGAGCAACTTTTCTATAGAAAAGTTGTCAGTAACTGAGTCAGTATTTAAGCAATTTCAGTAACTGAGCAACTTTTTCTATAGAAAAGTTGTCAGTAACTGAGCAACTTTTTCTATGGAAAAGTTGTCAGTAACTGAGCAACTTTTTCTATAGAAAAGTTGTCAGTAACTGAGCAACTTTTTCTATAGAAAAGTTGTCAGTAACTGAGAAACTTTTTCTATAGAAAAGTTGTCAGTAACTGAGAAACTTTTTCTATAGAAAAGTTGTCAGTAACTGAGAAACTTTTTCTATAGAAAAGTTGTCAGTAACTGAGCAACTTTTTCTATAGAAAAGTTGTCAGTAACTGAGCAACTTTTTCTATAGAAAAGTTGTCAGTTACTGAGCAACTTTTTCTATAGAA